GTCTTCTTATATAATCAATTTAAATAAAATTACATAGGTTGATATTTTCATATCGGCGAAACCGGTATTACTTTTCCCCACCAGACCAACTTGGATCGTTACTTGTTGCTAAAAGTTGATTTTCCCTCGCGGAGGAGAAGGAAAGTGTCAGATATTTGCTCACCACACTCCATATACGCGCCGTTCTATCAGTAGCCACGCTGCCCAAGATTTCGCTTTGAATCGGTGAAAATCGGACGCAGGTCACATTTCCACCATGCCCGGCGAAACATTTCTTTTCCTCGTATCGCACATCGCCACTACTGCCTCCGATGCCACTCGGCGTGATTACTTTGCCAATTGTTATTTTCCACAACTTAACCAAAGAGTCATTGCCACCGGTTGCTAACAGATAAGAGTGTTTATCGCTAATTATGTTCTCGTTTGTGCCTGCAATTGAAAATATACAGGATGAGTGGTAATCGTCGCTGGATCGTGGACTTTTGTTTTAGAAATTTATCTTTTTCCTCGACGGGGCTCAATGTTTATATATTTTTTTTCTTTATATTTTGTATTGTTAATCTGTTCACTATGTTTGACGAATACACTCGTCACGGAAAAGGAAAATGACAAAAGGAGATGAAGAACTTGTAAATGTTTCAGAATATTTTGAAATTACACACGAGAAGCAAAAAGAATGAAGAAATTGCAGTATGTAAAATGTCAATTTTTTTTTTAAATTTCTAATAATTAAGGTTTTTTACTCAAAGTTATAAAAATTAAAAAATACTGACAATTCCATTTAAATGAATAATTTTATCACTGACTTTTTCATCTGACTGTTTTCTTATCACCGACCGAAGTTTTTTATAAATATTCCAATATTTTCGCGAGCCAATATTGTAATAATAGTAGTGTAGTAATAATCTATTGATCCACCTTCGTTTGTGTATTGCGCAAAAATAATAGCTGAATTTTACATGTTATCTTTGAATAATAGATAGGTATACGTATATCTAATTAGAAATATTCAATTAAAAATTACATTACATCTCATACAAATCTAAACATTTATACATATAGAAAAATTATTAAATCACTTTATTGTGAAATGTTAAGCAGTAAAATATTAAAATAAAAAGAACTATTCCTTTTTAACACTAAACGTACCAAGCGGGGTCGAATGGCACCTTTTCAAAATTTACTTAAAAATCGTACATTCGTTGTTATTTCTTTCGCTAATCTGACTTTTTGTAAATTCTTATATTACCTGATTGTTCGATTTCTCGTTTTCTGTTTTTCTCTTAGCTTCATTTTTTTTACCAAGAAAAATTCTCTGCATACCTTATGTACCGCGAGGGATCACCGAGAAAAATTCTTTGCATACCTTATGTACCGCCGAGGGGTCATTTTGATCCCTTATGGTAAGATAGGTATATGTAGAGGTGGAGATAGCTCAGTCGGTAGAGCATCAGACTTAATCTGAGGGTCCAGGATTCGAACCCTTATTCGGGCGGAAAAAAAGATATTATCCTTTAGGACAATAGCACGAGGAGAGCTCTGTGTGTATAAAAAGGTCCCAGAGCTCTCCCAACATGCGGAGGACGGCCATCGTGGAGGTTTTAGTCGGTAAAAATCCAACACTACCTGGG